GGACCAAGACACAGTACCTAAAAGAATTAAAAAGTGAAAAAAAAAATTAGAACCATTAAAATTTTGCAAATAAAAGCAGCATCAACTATAATCAAGTGAATTGCCACCAAAATGAGGATATAAAAGAACACAAAGGGTTTCCTTTTTGCTCCTCCAAAGAGCAAATCCCTTTAAAAACATAGAATAAAATAAAACCAAGGTCCATCATACAAGAAAACTGAACATGCATTTTCCAAAATCAGGATAACACTTTGTCCTTTTTCTTATTCCAATTCCATCAAAAAGAGTTTACCACTAAATGGCACCTAAACCACAAGGAAGTAATTTGCAGGCACAAGTGCAGAATGCCTCCTTTCCCATAACAGCTTCAATGAAGGCAAGAGAAAAGCATGACAGAATGTACAACCAGGGCTAAGCATTTCCATGTTTTAAGTTTTAACTGTGTGAACCCCACCAGTGATTCAATGACCAAAACATAAAAATGAATGACATCCACACAGTCATTTGAGGCAAGGATAAACCCTATGTTTATAAACTATGCATGGGAACAGAATAGTGTGTCAAGGACCTTTTGATGAAATTATAGCAACCTTGGTAGCATAAAGATACCTCATGCCACACAAATAATAGAACACATCAAACAACTGCTAAGATATTTTTGGTTGTTTGAAACAAAGTTTTAACGTTGATAGCTTCCTAAAAAAACCAGGTCTGAAAATGAACTAAGATGAACAACTGGCATAACTATTTAGCTTATTTTAATGAAGCTTTGGCATGTTGACTTTCCAAAAGCACGAGGCCAGAAAATATGTTAATCTTAAAAGCTTTCTCAGCTGCCAACAAAATGATCACATAAAGCATAAAGATTCAAACGTGGTGATTGATTTCCACTCTATCTTCAGCATTCCTAAACATGTCTCAAGTTTGAAGTAAATCATAGTCTGAATCAATATAAAATAACAATCAAATATACAACACCCAAAAGTAAATATACATACACTTGCTAATTCAATTTAGTCCATTTTCTAATTCAATGAACAAAGTGATGATGTATACATACTCCTCACTCCCAAAACAGATACAAGAGTAGACTAAATTCCACTTACCATTTAAAAGATATGATTTTTTCAAAATTTGATGCTAACTATACAAACCAAATACATAGAACCATATACATCATTCCATTACCCATAAAACAACATATGCAACACTATGATTGAGATATCTAGGAGTTCGTTAATAAAGAAAATGATGGATTTTTAATATCCAACACAAGTCAAAAATTGAAAAAAACAAAAAAAAAATAGAAATTAAAAAAAGTCAGAAAATTAATCTGAAGTTAAAGCTGTGTTTGGCAGCCGAGAAAGCATTAACAGCAAGATACCCTCTCCATAGAAAATCAAAAGCACAAAAAAAAAAAAGAAAACCCACATTTTCGATCAAAGAAACAAATGAAAAACACCAATCAACTCATTTCAGCCAAGGACTCAATTTCCCTTCATTTTCTCCACACTCACCTCAAAAAATAAAACCCAGAAAATGACAATAAAAGAAAGCTGAAAGCATTTTGGTGGAATTATTCAGAAGAATAATAGTAAAAGAAAACTGAAAAGGAAGGACATACCTAAAATAAGAAGAAATTGTTGAATTTAGGTTTAAACTAACGAAAGCCTTCTCTTTTGGGTTTGCAAAATTGTGTTTGAGAGGGTGATAGTGTTAGAACTTGGAAGACTATTCTGGCTGTAATACATCAAGAGATGATCCAAGGTTGCACCAATCCTAAATACTTTAACCTATTTTATTATGAGTTATATGGGCTAGGGCTAAACATCACTATTATAAAATGGGCTAAAAAATAGGGCCAATTATAAAATTTTAGGTATTAGCCCATGAGTTTTATTTTCATGACGGCTCTGGAGGTATTAGGATCCTGGTATTTGTGATGGAAAATAAAGGAAATTGTATTAATTAAATGGAAGGCAATGACATACAAGGGAGAATCAAAGAGACTGTGACTACTATTGTTGTACATATGACTGGAATTGATAATAACTATTGGGAATTAATAATTACTATTAGGAGCAGTCATGTATTATTATTTATTAAATATAAGTGTAATATTAATTGTCATGTTGGTTGATCTGTAGGAGAGCAGTTATTAAATATAAGTATATCATATACACTGTAGGAAAATTGACAGTTTAGGTGTGTATTTGGATGTTCTTTGGACAGAGTTATTCACTGTAGGACTTGTTGAAACTCCAGAATACCTTCTGTTGTAACTATCTATTCAATGAGTGTTTTTAATCCCAAATTCTAGCGGTGTTCTATGAAAGTAGTACTTTGATGGCTAGTATATTTGTTAAATGTAATTAGAGCTGACAAAAAGTCCAATTGACCCAATTCTAGACCTAGCCCATGTGGATTAGGACCAAAAAGCCCAGCAAATCAAAAGCCCTTCTTTGTGCAAAAAAATTTTATTCAGTCCACTGTGGTCTTAAAATGAACAAGGAAAAAAGAGGGAAAGTGTTCTTGGTGGGACATGAACTCAAAATCAGCCATCATCAATAAAGTTGTCACTCAGGGAGCATGTTTTAGTCACAAAATGGACATAGAAAATAGTATCAAATTGTGAAAAAAAGTATGGTTTTATGCTGAGAAAATTAGACAAGGCTGGTATATTTGTTAAATGTAATGCACCATATTAACCTTCTTCATCAATTGATAGTATATCCACTGATCAGATTGAGACAGATTTCTGCTCCTAATTCATTTGTTTAAGTATATGTTATTTTAGAATTGTACACTGTAGTTTAGCTTTCTCAAATATGTGTTCATTACATGCTAAAACCCTGTTTGGCAGCTCTAATCTCATGTATACAAAGCTTAAACTTCTAATTTATGTACAAATTTCTGTCAATTGGGGTATTTTACAATATTCTAACACTTCATATATTAACTAATATTAAACACTTCAAACTAAGAACTCAGATTCTGAATTATCAACTAACGACTAAGGAGCCTAGAATTTTTTAGTACGCATTACGGAATCTTCTTAATTTCTTGTATTATCTCCTAATATGTTCCAATTTTATTCATTGACTAATAAGTTTGACAATGTTGAATCAAAAGCTTCAAAACCCATAGTCCATTACAGACAAATAAAAAAAACCCACAACATTGAAATCTGAATGCTACCAATGGATAGAGAAGAATGAAAATTCTCACACAAAAATTCAAACATCCGATCAAATTTTGAAGAAGAAGGCGTGAAGTAAAAGACCTGGCTCCTGGCTGAAAATAGAAACTTGTCTTCAAATGAAAAATGAACTAAGCTCTTCTTCTCTTCAGCTTGTAACCTTGCCCGTTCCAACTCTTCGCTTCAAAGCTCAACAGATTAGGCAAGAATCGAGCGCAACTAGGTTTTACAATATTAAGACTTGGGAGTAGTGTGATTTAGTTTCAGATGAATTTAGGTAAGATTTTGCAGTGTTTGTAGGGTTAGGGTTAATCCATGATATCTTTACCTTAACTCTTAAATAATTTAAGGTTCAAACAATTTATTTTGATTAGTAAATGGAAGGCTGGAATAAATTATTTTAGAGTTGAGTAGGATTGATCATTGTGCTCCAGCTCTATATTTGACAGCTCTATGTTTAACACAATAAAATATTTTATTTTATTTATTAAAAATGTTTAATATCTTTAAAATTACAAAATGCTTCTTTCCTTTGAATGTGCGGATCGTTCCTAGAGCAATACCAATCACCGATCCTTGATTCCTTGATGAAGGATGCAATCGGACAAGAAATTTCAAAGAAAAAGTGAAAGAAGAATGAAATGGATATTGACACCACTCTCAAAGGGAGATAAGGCACAAGATCTTCACCTAGTATTGTTTGAATAATAAATTGTTTGGCAGAGCATTTGTTAACTTTTAGGCTTGATGCGGACATGAAGAAGGAAAGGATGGAGAGTGAGAAACATGGAAGGCATGGGTACTAAAAGTATGTCATGGATAACTTCTAAGAAATCTCTGAAGTAAGAGCAACAACCAATGGAAAACAGGTTATTCTGCTAATGCATTCTAGAGCTTTCATAACTGATTACACATGATTTGGTTGGAGAATCAAAGTTACAGTCAGAGGAGATTATGTAATCAGTTGAGCTGGGAAACAGAATAAGAAGCCGGGAGTGTGTTGGCAATGACAGGTCCAGTTGAGTTTGCCAGAATTGGTAGGGGTGCAGAATGTTTCTTTGATCTAACATGGGCAGATATAGTGCTTGGGGGTTTGACTAGCTAGAAGACATTGAAGAAATTAAAGCTAATTTCAAAGAATTGACCATTTAGGCAATGGTATATAGGTGTTGTATGTTATTAGGGGAGACCTGGCCTTGTCAATAAGTAATAACTATGGCATCCTTGAAGGTTATATTATAATCAAAATGCTGAAAAGTGAGGGGCTGAAAAGTGAGGGGCAAGGTTATTATGTAGTATGTACAGGTAGACATAGAACACGTCATCAATAAAGGAGGAACAATTACTGGAAGGAAATCAGAGAAGTGCATTGGACCTTCAATCAGTTATCGATCATTGAATTTTTTGAACGAGGAAGACAGCATTCCAGACACAAGGACCTCTATGAGATAAGAAAATTTCAACGCTCTGCCAAAATTAAACAATATTAGATAAGGTAATATTGAATTTTAGAATTAAACTAATTTCAGCACGAACAAAATGATTGCTAGGCCCAGTGTATCATGCACACATGAGCAAACCCACTGGATTTGTGACATAGGCCATTTGGCCCAAGCCTATCTATCTCTCAAGCTCTCTACAAGCTCAATACAAAAAGTTAACTTACTCTTCAAGGACTTTTCTCCTAGGAATGTGAGACTTATTCTTTTTAAAATATCAGTCTTTTCAAATACTCCCAACACTCCTTGAGCAGGTTGCCCTATCATATATTAACTATAAAGGATCAAAGAACCTGTCATACCTCTTGCAAAAGCCGCTATATCACTTCTATCTATCGATGATGCAGCACCTACACCATTAAAGTTTGGTTTCAATATGCATTTATTATGTGTAGGTAGATATTGTATAGGCAATAAATGGAGTGTGGAATCAAATGACACATCATCATTACCTTCTTCAGACTTAGTTTCCATTGGTGGAACCTTCAAAATATCTATCACTTTTCTGTAGAGACCCTGTCAATGTCAATGATTTTCTTATTATAATTATTGAATTACGAAAACAATTGTTGGTAACCAATTAGGCATCAAACATAAGTGAAGCATTGCTAAACAATTTAAGCAGTAAATGTGTTATATATTGGCAGATTATACTAGTCAGGGAAGTTATATCTACATCTAAACTTGTAGCCTCATGATCTCTTGCTTGCGATTCCTTCTCCACAAGATCAATGCATCTGTCAGCCACCACCGATGTCAAATCATCCTACATACAAATTTCCCTCTTTATAAAATCGAATGGTGCCAGGAAAATAATTTACAACGAAATCACATTGCACAAACACCAACCTTCCCCAACTCTAGATGAAAGCCAGGCTGAGCTTCAAATGCAGCAACTATAACATGAAACCAAAATGAAACCCAAACTCATTGACAAAAATTCATGTTAAAAGAAAATAGTAAAAACAATAAAAGCAATAACCAAAGAGGTGCAGAAAATTAATTACCTCTAATGCCCAAGTAAGAATTGGTTAAGTCTTGAACACCATCGAGCTTCTCTATTGCTTCACCGTATTCTCCTCTGAAAAAAGTTAACATAAAAGCAAACTCAAATGAGTTTAAACTATCAACCACAAAATTGAACTCCAACACATGAGAACTAAAAAAGAACAATCAACAACACTAAATAATCACAAAGAAGAAACCTCTCAGATAACAAGGTGGACATAGCAAGCAAGGCCATTCCTTTTGAATTCTCACGCACTGGATCTTTGCCTTCAGTTAACTCAGTAGTAATGCAGTGCTTCAACACAGTCAAACCCATACGGTACGCTCCAACTGTTCACAACCAAAAAGATGTTAACTTTGGACAAAAAACACAAAAGGGTCATCGAGAAAAGAAGCAATTTTAATGGGGTATTATTTTTCTGACGTGATCTTTCAGTTCTGGCTTGTTTCAATGCGTAGTTGATCATTCTAATAGCATCTGGGACTACCATGTTTGCTTCCAATTCCAAACCAATGGTGAATGACCTGAAGGATGAAGAGGAAAGAGGGGAAATTCTGGTGCAGGAAATAGGAAATGGCTTTGCAGTTGAAGAAGCCCTTGATGACAATTTTGCTGCGATGCGAAGCATTTTTTATGGCGAAAACTTGAAAGAACACTGAAAAGGGTGGCGTTTTAGAACGAAAGGGTTAGAAAGTGGAAGTGATTTTGTCGCCTTATTTGGGACTGGGATCACTCAAGTTAATGTGTTTGTTACAGTCCTTAAAACTCGAAGGAAGAGGGTCGCAGCGAAACTCCGGATCCGCTATTAAATCGCGTGATAGACTGATATAATAATAATAAACCCTAAACCCTATTTACAATGCTTCGTCATGAAATAACAATTAGAAGGCATTATCTAATAATATATTTTATAAAAAAGTTATTTCATTATTTTAGATTACAACTTACTAACAACAAATTTAAACTTATTATTTAATTAAAATTAACATAATATTGATTAAAAAAGTAAAAAATTTCTTTAATTTTAATGGAATATTTTTATCTAAAAATAAAAATGGTTAACAATAATAGACTTATTAGAGAGGATAATTATAATATTAAAGAATTAAAATAAAAGTAGTAAAATAAATTATTAATGTTATTTTATTTTTATTTTTTTATAAGTTGACTTTATTTTATATACGAGCATCGGTATGAAAAAAAAATTCTTTGTAAAATTATCATTTCTAAACTAAAGATAGAAAAAATAATAGTACTTCTTGTTATATTCTCTTGTATTTATTATAAAATTTTTAACAAAATTATGTGTGCAATATTATTATTAACTTTTATACATAGAATTTTTATTTTTATCTTTTAAATTTTAAAATTTACAAATCTAAAATTTTTAAATTAAATTGTTTATTTTATTATATTAATATAAATTAAATTTACTAAAGAGAAAAGATTTTTAATGATAGATTTAACACTCTTAATTTATTTACTATTTTTCTCTTATTATAAATAAGTTTCAATAAAATTTGTTGAATTAAGTAAAAACTATAAAAAAAAAATTTATAATTATGTAAATATCAATATGATAGAAATTGATAAAATATAAACAAAAACTTCATAGCAGCAATTTTAAATTTTAACTAAGTCAGATATAAATTATAATTAAATAATTATCTACTAAATATTACAAATATATCTCAATTTATTATTTACAATAAGGTTTATCAAAATATTACATATTTTAAAATTAACATTAAAATTTTTACATAATATTATCAACTTTAAGTGAAAATTTAATCAAAATTATTACAATTCTCAAAATAAATTAAATTCTAATAAAGCAATCATTCTTTACAACATAACTGAAAATATGATCACAAGACATATCAATATTCTTTTATTTCTTCATTTTTACTTCCTGAAAAATAATTGTAAGGGTGAGTATTTTATATCTCGCTAAATTTTTATTTTATAAAATTATTTAATAATATAGAAAACATTATCTCATGTAGTATGCACAAAAATAAGAATAATTCACTTATAAAATTTTATCCAAAAATCATCAAGACACCAAACTTTTACACTCAACCAAATCCGATAATACAATTCTTGAATTTTTACCACTTTAATCATTTCAACTATGATGGATCCATCATTTATTAGTGCTTTCAATATTCATGGGCCCCAAACCGCAGCCAACATGCTTTTCCTAGTCATGAAAGACTTACACCGGCACAGATAGTTGTTGGATGGCTACCACACATAGATACAATATGTGCGTTATACAACCCTGTAGCCAAGGTATAGTCAAGAATGTTAGTTATAAAACGAGTGTAAGACCATGTAATGCTTCCGCTTTCAATTATGTACACATCAACGAATAGCATTCACCACCTTTATTTTCTCCTTATTTCTAAAATTGATTTTTTATTCTATACCCTCAATGTATCTATGTAATAATCCATATGGAAACTTGACAACAGTAATTTATACTACAATTTTTTATTCCATTCCTATATCAGTCACTCTTTTATAACACACATCCTCTCAATAATTCTTTCCAATTTGTTAATAAATCCTCATTCTCAAACATTCACACTAATAGTATTTCTATAATTTTCTCTCATATACAATCAATTTTATATCATACAAATCAATACAATATGCTAAAGTTTGAACACCTTCAGACATAACCTAGTCATATAGTTTAAAAATACATTGAAATTAAATCACATACCACAAATACATTGCTGAAAATCACACTCTCCCAGTCATGATAAAAAATTATCTATCATAAAGTTTAACATTTTCCTTTTTCATCTTCGGTATATATCTTATTCAAAATAATAATTTATAACATTAATTATACATACATAATAATAAATAACAAGATCATAAAAACTTATTAAAACTTGTTTTGCTAATAACTTTTACTGTTAAAGTGTATCTAGGTAATTTCTAAAATAAAACATAGATGTGTCATACTTTAAGAATCTATTTTCAACGTCATAATTTCAAGAAAACCTTAAGCTTTGCTATTCAGAATAAGGTAGTTGAGATTTCCAAGTCAAAATATATAAATAAGACTTGGAGTTTGGGATCAACTTCTTTTACCTAGAAATAGGTCTCTCAAAGCAAGAAATGGGAGATAATGCCTCTAAAACCAATTTCTTTTTAAAATCTAAAGAAAAGGTGCAACATTTTGATGAAAAATATTGTAAAAATAACTTTGAGAAAAAATAAAATGATCTCCCTAAATATTACAAAGTAAAATAACTTTGAGAAGAAATAAAATGATGAAAAAAAGTAAAATTGAAAAATTAAGCTCTAAGAACTTACTTAGAATCAAGTGAGAAAAGATGTTCAAGCTCAAATTTAAGAGATTTGAAAAGTAATGAAGTTTTCTAGTTGGGAAGGGAGTAAGAGAATAGAGAGTGATATGAGAAAAGATTAATGGCTTTTTGTTCAAAATTTTTAAAACATTGAAACTATTTATATACTATTTTCACTCGCAACTTCTCGCTTGAGTGAACGCATTCTCGGTTAAACGAGATCATTCTCACTTAAGCGAAAATATTAGACAAAAAATTTTACCCAATTTTTTGATAATCTCGCCTGAGCGGGATGATTTTTTGCCAGGGCGAGACTTGGTCCAAAGAGCTCCTTATTTTTCTATGCTTTCTTGTATGAGCAAGAAGATAGTGAAGGCAATATTATTTATTTTTACCAAAGCGAGATCCCCTATAGTTTTCAAAAATTTTAAAATTTTCTATTTTTAAAAAATAAAAATAATAAATAAACTAAATATGTAATAATAAAAATAAGAGTGTTACAATATAAACAACATTGAATACAAATACTAACTATAAAAATGAGTCAAGAGAAGATGGAGATAGAAAGGAGAAAGCAAATTTGTTTTTATATCTACTAGGTATCCCAATTCTCATGTCTGTTTTTAATTTCTTTTAATACTTTTTTAATGAACTAATAAAATAATATTATAAAATTATTTTTAAGAAAATACTAAAAATAAAAATAAATAAATTTAATTATTTGCCTAAAATTAAATAATATAAAATAAAATATCAAATTAAATTTAAAAATTATAACAAAATTATTTATCTAAAACTTTAATTTTAATGATATATTAAATTTTATAAGTATTTACCTATACTCGAATAAACAAGTATTTATTTAAATCATTGGAAATACTTTTGTGAGTACCCAATGAGTATATTAAATATCATTCATACTAAGATATAACTAAAAAATAAAATAAAATTTATAGACTTATTAATAATTTTTAAAAATTTAGAATAATCAATTAATGAAAATTTAACTGAAGGACTTAATTATAATATCATAAAGTACAAAAATAATTAATAATTAAGTTTTTTGAAATCAAATAAATAAATAAAATATTTAACTTAAAATATATAATTTTTAATTTTATTGATTGTTATATTTGAAAATTTTTCTTATGAGAGAAAAAGACTCAAATTAAATAGTTCATTTCACGTGCAAGTAATGGTAAGTTTAATTGAAAAAAATAAAAAAATTTAAATAGAACAATTACATTGCAAGAGAGGGAAGTGAAAACTATTTTCATTCAAATGTATTTTGGGTATTTATTGATTTTTGGATAAAATTAAGACATGTTAAGATTAAATTTGAGACATTTAGAACATGTTTGGTTTACTTTTTCAAAAAATAGTTTTAATTGTTTTTTAAAAATTGTAACACATTTATTGCTTTGGTTTGAGAGATATTTAATTTGTCCAAATGTTTCTTATCTTCTTAGTTGTGTAATATTTACTTTATTACTTTGTTGGTTTACACTTACTTATAAGTATTAATTTGTAAGTCTTTCTTTATATTCTTATTTGGATTATAGTATAGTTATTTTTATGGTCTCCGGATAAGATTTGATTTTATCCTTTCTTTAAATTTATTTTTACGTTAATAATTTTAATTTCTCTTGTACACTTATGATAATTTTTTTAAACATCATAATATATTAAAAATTTAAAAGTGAATAATTATGAATAATTTTTCTTTATGAGAAATTATACATATATAATTGACGTAATATTATTTTTATTGTAATTTTTAAGAATTTATTATCTAAACTTTATACATTTAAGACTTTTTTAGTAAATATTTTATTAAATTAAATAAATAATTTTTTAAAATAAAAAATAAATTATAAAGAGTTTAAAATTAAAAAATTGTTATAAAATGAAGGTAAAATTGTAAGAAAGAATAGAGAGAAGAATATGAAGAGGAAGAGAGAATCTCAATTTCATTTCACATATCCTAAATACAAATAAAACACCTATTTATAGGCCTAAAACTATAACTGAAGAATCGTATCTCTTTGAATTAGAATTAAACAAAACAGTTCTAAAATCATAAGTTACAAAGAATAAGGAGGAGTTATGAATATGCACATTCACTCATATAATAATTTATAACACTCTCCTTTGAATGTCCATTATTTGAGAATATGTTTCATAACATCTAACTAGGAAAAACTCAATGGGATAAAAGCCTAAGAAAAATACATTATTATTTACGTTATTACATGCTGCCTCATTAAAAATCTTGCCAGGAAAACCTAATGGGAAAAAATCATAGCTAAGGAAAAAAGAGTGCAGAGCGTATTAATTCTCCCCCTCATGTGGACAATTATTTTGAAGACGACGAAGTCCAATCTTGTAAACTAGTTGTTCAAAAGTTTTACTTGGAAGTGACTTTGTGAAAATATCTGCTAGATTCTCACATGAAGGAACT